GCATTCAGGCTTTTGAGCAGTAATTGAGCTGAGAGCTATTGGGATGAGGACTCAGAGGCTTCCAGTCTGAGGAAACAGGACCAGCTGAGGAACTGGTGAGGTGAGATAGCTGTGGCTTATTCTGTCTCTCTGATCTACCAGCATGGACCCCAATAACTCATCTCGGGTTTGATTTTATTAATAAGAACTTTTAAGATTCCTACTACACCTTGCTTCTCACATAAGCAAGTGCCTGGATGGACAGGTTCCTTTTGCTAAGTCGGGTTCACTGTCCTTTTCTACGGGCTCGTCTAGTGAATGCTAACCACCACTGTGCTTCCCAGACCACTTGCACTCTGGTGATGATAGACGAAGGAGAAAGTCCAGGAAGAAGGAAGCACGAAGTCACTGTTTACTTACTCCTCTAGTCTTCTAGTGAGGTCATCTAAGGCATTCCTCTCAAGACAACTACTGACTTGCCTCCCTTGCCCCTCTCTCTCTAGGACTGTGGGTTTGCGGTGGTTTGAATGAAAATGGCTTACCTAGGCTCCAGTGGCTCCAGGTTTTATCAGATTATAAATGCATGCACTTCTGGAGACACCCTATAATTTCACTCATCAAAAGCAGCAATGAGGAGGGAGTTTCTTGGCTCTTTGAGTTGTACCTTGAGAGTCACCACAATCGTATAGACCTTAATGATAAGGAAGCCTGTATCCCTAAGAGTATGTCTTACTATTTCCCTGGGATTCTCTCCTTCTCATAAACTCTGTATTTAAAATCTGTGTTAAAATGGTCTTTTGATAAATTTCAAGTCCTTTTTGAGAAGCTTACACCCAGGCTCTTGACTGTGCTTTACGGAAGCTCCTAGAACATCGGTTCCCTGGTAATTGTTGCCTGGGTGAGTGGAGACTGGTCTCTATAGAGAAAATATCAAGAGAAAGTCTGTTCTCTTTACCCCTTTGGAGTCACCAGGATTGTGCGGTAAATGCCTTTTCTTAAGCAACCGTCTCATGGCCCTGAGTTGACATTTTAACGACTTAGCTTTTGTAATTGTCATTGTCCTATCACTTCTGAACTGCCCGAGGTAGATCTTGAATAGGTGAAGCAGGTATACAGCTGTGGACTACTTTCTCTTGTCCACAGAACTGGGTTGGTACTCATTTTTACTAACTTTCACTTCAGACACAAGGTTCTAACCTTGCACAAGTCTTCATTTAAGAATATTCTAATAAAAGCAAGCAAACTAATTTGTATAGTTGTGAGAAAGTGTATGTGTATGTATTTTAAGGCTAAATAGTATACAAAAAATTGAATGTGTTTAAGGGGTGAAATTATAATGAGTTTGGGGCTGTTGGGGTGGGGAGAAGGACTCAGGAAAGAGAGAGAGAGAAGGGAAGAAAGAAGGAAAGAGAGAGAAAGAAAGAGAAGGAAGGAAAGGAAGGAAGGAAGGAAGGAAAGAAGGAAGGAAGGAAGGAAATTCTCTCTTTTATCTTTTTCCTAGCACCATAACTAGTGGTTGGTTTCCCAGGTTACCCAACAGGACACCTGGTGCTCAAAATTTGGTGAGAGATCACTGCAGTGAATATTTTCTGTCATTCGACTGTAATTATTGTGCTCATACACAATCAAAATCAACCAGAATTCCCAGAAGTATCTCAACTGCTCTAAGCTACAAATGTCAAATGGCTTGGTGGCTTGGGAAACATTAATAATAATAACTAATAATTATAAGCAGACTAGAGAGGGAAGTGTGGGCAGTTAGTTATACTTTAAACGGATTTACAAGATGATTAGCCTGTATCCTTGAGGAATCCAGAGAAATGAGTCCAGCTGAGCAGGTCTTGGGCAGGGAAGTCTCTTCTCCGCTCTGGTTGTGCCCTCTAAGGCTGCCTCTCCCCGCTAGTCCCTGCAGCGCCTGACCCCGCCCACCCCTCCGGGCCCCGCTCGGCCCCGCCCACCCCTCCGGGCCCCGCTCCTCCGGGCTCACTCTTTCCCTGCTGCCCCGCCCACTCTCTCCTTGCCGCGCTCGGCCCCGCCCATTCCCTCCGGGCCGCTCTCGGCCCCGCCCATTCCCTCCGGGTCGCTCTCGGCCCTGCCCACTCTCTCCGGGCCGCGCTCTGCCACGCTCTGCCGGGCTCAATCCCTGCGGGCTGCGCTCGGCCCCGCCCACTCTCTCCCAGCTGCTCTCGGCCCCGCCCACCCCTCCGGGCCCCGCTCGGCCCGGCTCACTCTTTCCCGACAGCGCTCGGCCCCGCCCCCTTTCTCCCGGCCGCGCCTGGCCACGCCCCCTCTCTCCCGGCCGCCCTCGGCCACGCCCCCTCTCTCCCGGCCGCCCTCGGCCACGCCCCCTCTCTCCCGGCCGCGCTCGGCCACGCCCCCTCTCTCCCGGCCGCGTCGGCCCCGCCCACCCTCCGCTGGCTCAGCTTCCCAGCGGCTCCAAGCGCAGGCCGCGGCCGAGGGGCGGGGCGGCCGGGAGGAACCGCGTCCAGGGGCGGGAGGGAGATCCGCCGCGGAGTGACGGGAAAGTTGGTCCGAGTTCTCGGGAGTTTCCCGGTGTGCTCCCCCGCGTTCGCCCGGCGGCTCCCAGGCTGCTTTCCTCTCTGCCGCCCTCCCGGTCCACTCGGCCCCTCTTTCTGCCGCCGGCCGCCATGGAGCAGCCGCCGGCGCCCAAGAGGTAACGACGGCGGGAGCGGGATGAGGACGGAAGCCGCGGGGCGGGGGCGGCTAGGCCAGGCCTGCCGCGACCCTGTCCCCGCCGGCCGGGCGCCGAGCAGAGCCTGGCCCAGTCGCCCACGGCCCGGCCGCGTCCTTCCGCGAGGCCCCGGGCCCCGAGGGGACGGCTCGTGGGGCCCCGGCACGCCGCAAGTTGAGTGGCCAGCGCTGGGCACCCCGCAGATCGTGGGGTTAGGGGGGTTGGAGAGGCAAATTCACGAAGCCTTGAGACTTAGGACGAGGACATCAGTGCACGCTTTTCCTTCTTGCCCTTTTTTTTTTTTTTTTTGGTCAAGTGATTTTAATATAATAACCCTTCACCTTGAGACGATGTATTGATTATTTACAGTTTAAGGAATTAAATATATTAATAGTCACGCAGAATGCAAAACATTATGGACATGCTGTAATGACAGGTGTTTCTCTCTCCCTCAAGTTCTAAAGAATTTATGGAGACGAGACAGGAGGAATGTTAAGTCAGAACCCCTCCCTCATATGGCTTTGCATGTAAACATAGTGGTTCTTTGGTATACTGTGTATTGTTTGTGTTTAATCTTGGACATATTGGTTGCATATGTGTACAGCATGTTTGAACTAATAATTTCAGTCATCTTAGGAAGCTAAGTAAATGCCCACTGATAAAAGTTCATAATGTGCACTCCCTCTGCCCCAAGAATGAATCAATTAATTGTTTGATGTTGTATAAGACATTTAACCTCACTTTGTCATTTTTAATTTATGCACCTCTCTCCAAGAGAGTGTTGTGGTGAAGATTAAAGACTTCATGTGCTTTGATAGCTAGAGATCTTTAAATGGAAACTGTTTGGCTCAGGAGCATGAAATAATTAAAAAAGGTAGGGACTTTGAGAATGGTTGTGAATTGTGTGATTAGATATGTGAGCCTTGGGGCCTGGAAACCATCTGTTCACGTGCCAAAAAGGGAGGTTGTGAACAGGTTCTCAGAAGGGACAGGCTATCCATCAGAGTCCTGGGAGCAGGTCATTTGATAGATTGTTTCTAGCATGTTGTTGGTGTTTGTCATCTAGTATTCACTGGGCACTCCCCTCCCCCTCAGTGACAGAAGAAAATCTGAAACTTATTTTTTCTTTCTGCCTTAGAAGGACAGTAGGGGGGGGGGTGTCTGAGACCATGGCGTAGGCCAACTTGAACGATTGAATCGAAGTAGAACCTCTTTATTGATTAGCTCTACTGTAGGTTATCAATTTCATTATGGCTGTAAGATAATACATGTATTTGATGAGACATCAGTGAACCCGGACAATCAGAAGTTGTGGGTGATAATTCCATAGTGATTTATACTTTACAAAGCAGTGGTTACAAATAAAACAGACTTATTTTTAACTTTAAATTTCTTCAGAGACTCATCGTTTTAATCTAGAAATGCAAATCTTGTAGCCCTTTTCCTGCCTCCTCTCCTGAGTTGCCCTGTTTGGCCTTGAATGCCTGGGTTTAAGAGCTCCTGCCTTAGACTTAGGAATAGCTGAGACTAGAAGGATAGTTCTTGCTCAGGAAAGCAAACTTTAAAAAACATTACATTTTGTTTGTTTAGTGTCTCTGCCTCCCACCTGTGTGTGAGCATGTGTGTGTGCGTGTGCGCTCGCGCACTCTTGCTCATGGAAGCCCGTGTCTTATGTGGAAGTAAGGACTGCTTGGGGGAGTTGTTTCTCGCTTTTACCATGTGAATCCTGGGGCTCAAACTTAGGTGATCTGGCTTGGTGGCAAATACCTTTACCTGTTGGGTTATTTTGCTGTCCTACCAGAAAGGCATTTCTTTTTTTTTTTTTTTTTTTTTTTTTTTGGTTTTTCGAGACAGGGTTTCTCTGTGTAGCTTTGCGCCTTCCCTGGAACTCACTTGGTAGCCCAGGCTGGCCTCGAACTCACAGAGATCCGCCTGGCTCTGCCTCCCGAGTGCTGGAATTAAAGGCGTGCGCCACCACCGCCCGGCCAGAAAGGCATTTCTAAAAAGCAAAAGATACGTGTTTTTCATAGCATTTTCAAATTAATAATATTTATCCTCACACCAGCTCTGTGGAGCAGGTTGGATTGCAGAAAGTTTTATTTTATAGATGAAGATACAGCTTGTTTGCCAGACAGGAGCCTGGGAGTTACCTACGGTAAATGTCTGTGTTGCTCTTCTGATCTTTGTTGTCTCACAGTAAAGTGTATCTACCGTTGTTTGAGATTGTATTGTTGGCCGGGAAATTTATACATTGTGACTTAACATTGGGGCTTTTCCCCTGAGACTCATTAGGTTATTGTGTGTGTGTGTGTGTGTGTGTGTGTGTAAGTATCTGTGTACTTGTCGGAAGTGATGTAGGAGCCTTATGTACCTCATCTGCATGGTCGGTCATTAACTGATGTTGTTGTTTTTTTCTCCTGTCCTCTTTTGCTCCCAAATAAGTCATTCATGGAGGCTTATTCTTAATTATAAATGTCTAGCTTTAGTTTGGCTTGTTTCTTGCCAGCTTTTCTTAAATTATCCCATCTACCTTTTGTCTCTGGTACCTCTTGTCTACCTCTTTAACCTTTCTCTATTTCTGTATTTCTTTTCTTTCCTTCTTATTCCATGTCTGGCTGTGTGGCTGGGGTATTGGCCCCTTCTTTTCTCAATCCTTGATCTCTCCTTCCAGATTTCTTCTTCTATATATTCTCTCTGCCTACCAGCCAGCCCTGCCTATCCTTTCCCCTGCCTTGCTATTGGCTGTTTAGGTCTTTATTAGACCATCAGATGTTTTACACAGGCACAGTGACACAGCCTCACAGAGTTAAACAAATGCAACATAAAAGAATGCAACACGTCTTTGTATCATTAAACAAATGTTCCACAGTGTAAACAAATGTAACACATCTTAAAATAATATTCTACAACAGACTGAAACATTATTATGTGATGTGGTTGGTACATACCCTCCTTTAGTTAGTTATTTTGAAAAATAGTAATCCTGACCCTACCATGCTATGCTAGTTCTAAGTTTAAATGACTTCACTTGTAAAATATGTCATGGGAATTAAATGGGCTCATATGTAAAGCACTTAGTAAAGTGTTTCATGTATGTTTAGTACTATGTTATTGTTAGCTTGTAGTTTACTCATAAATGACACTCAGAGAGGTTAAGGAATTTGGTTAAGTAAGAGCACCAGAATCCTTAGTCTGATGGTCTGCAAAGGTGCTTATGCCTTTATTATGTAGAGTGGTACTTTTTATAATTCTGTAATGTAGCGATCATCTTTTCTGCAGCTTTCTGGACCCTCAGCCCACTTTTTCTTAGTCTCAGTAAGAATGCCATATATCCTTTCTGCCTGGCGCAGCACTACCTTAACATTCAGGTGTATTTTCACGGGGATGTGTTTGCTGCCCTTGTCCAAGCCCATGTGATCAGTTGCTGCTGCTCAGCTGGCATCTTGATTTTTTCATGTGAGCCTTTATTATTTCATCTAGTTTGCCATTAGGTCCTACCAACATTTCCATGAAAAAGTCTGTGGATTATTTTTTTCTTTCCACTTCTCATTTGTAAGATGACTTCTGTATTTCAGAGTGACGTGCCACACTTGAATTGCAGTAGTGCCTCCTCACTGGCCGATTGTGTGTTGTACTTTTCAGAAACTGTTTAGCAGTGGAGACATTCAGTAGCTGAAGGGCTGTGTTTGGGGTGGTGGGAGGGCATGGGGCTGCTTCTAGACTCTTGCCCCTTGCTGTCTTGCAGAACCAGTACTTCATAGAACGGTTTGCTTTAGTTGGTCCTGCATGTAGCTTCCAGTTTATTTTGCTAAAATATCATTGCAGTCATGCCTTTCCCCTCCATTAGAGATACAGTATCAGGCCGGGGGGAGAGGGGGGAGGGCTGGGTTTTGTCATGGACTCTCTAGCTTCTTCTGTTACCAGTGACCAAGTGAATCTGGCCTCATAAAGCTTTCCTGGTGTTCTTTATTCAGGCTGGAGGCCATGAGTGCTCCCAGTTTTGTTTTGGTTCATGCTGTTCCTTTAGAAGAGTTTGTGTTAATTGGCTGTGGTGGTGCATGCCTGTAATGCTAGTACACAGGCTGAGAAGGGAAGATCACTATAGATTTGAGGCCAGCCTGGGCTATATAGTGAGTACCTGGCTAGCCTGGGCTATAGAGTAAGACACTGTCTCAAAAAATAAAATAGAAAAAAGAGAAAGAAAAGTTTGTTATTGCTGTTATCATTATCATAATCATTATCATTTTCTTGTAGTCCATTTTATTCTTCCATCAAGGTCTGCTTCATAAAGTGTCTTCTCTGGGTATTTCTTTCTACCTCAAGATATTTCTCAGGGTTCCTAATGTGATGCTCATTTGATTATGTGCTATATCCTTTTTGTTCTTTTTTTTTTAATTACAAAATTTTAGGCATCCAAAACTTAATGAGGACTAATTTGATAAATATTTATGCATCAGCACCTAGCTTAAGACACAAAATATTCTGAATATGTTTGAAGCCCTCCGTGTGTGTGTGTGTGTGTGTGTGTGTGTCTGTCTGTCTGTCTGTCTGTCTTCTCTGTTGCATCTCCTTCCTACCAGAGGATGGCCACTATTCTGGTGTGGGTATTTGATCTTTGCATACATGCCTTTATAAAACATGTAAACATGTTATGTAGCCTTGTCACTGCTTTGGATTTTCCTTCTTTTGCTATCATTCTTCTCTGGGAGCTGGAGAGTCTAGTGTGCAGCCAGATTTTAGAGTCACAATTCAGGATTCCCAGGCCATCTTGTACAGCAACTCTATCCTCAAATTCATGGATTCAGTGTTCTAACAAGTCTTGTGTAGAACAGAGGCAGTACATGTAGCTGCCCCTATCATTTATTCCAGGTATCACAGTGGTTTCTTGATGTCCAGATTTTAAGTGTTGTCATACTGGACTTTAGAAACACGAGAACTCTGGTTGTTGGGAGTATATGTAGTTGTGTATAATTCTTGTCAAA